GTCTACTCTCAAACAAGACCTTAAGTCTCCTGTTGAAACTTGAATGCATCATCTTTAGGTGTCCTACAGCGTAGTTATTTTCATTTCACATTGTAACTCCTACTTCCCAGTATGTTGGCTCTTCTGTGGAGTTTGCACCTGCTAACCAGTTATTCTGGTTATTCTAGCTTTCATCTGAATTTCCTGGCCTTTTGAATGTGAATAAGGTTGTTAACGAGGACACACAGGAACCCTAAAGCTGGATGTTAACTGAGCTGATCTGGTCTCTTGTACAACGAGGGCTGACATACGCTGCATGCCATCAGTGTGTGGTCATTTGGCTGCGGTACTAAATGCATATCAGATCTATAGATGCTGTAGTTGCCTTAATTGTTTTGATTTTCCCTTTAGGTACCAAAGAAAAGTTTTGTTTTTTTAATGCACATGAACATACACTAGTCCACACTTGTGGACGACAAAAAAACAAATAAAAATGGGAAAATGATACTGTTGAACTTGCTTTTTTTTTTGTACTACTTTTTAACTAAATATTGTTATTCTCACAAATGTAAAGGTCCCAAAAGGCAGTTCTGAAATACTGAACAGAAGTATTTAGTCACTGTGAAATAAAAGAGGACAGAAGTTGTACAGAGGTGGAATAATTCCCTTTTTTATTGGCAGTAGGCTCGGTGCGGCGCGGGCACCGGGTGATGAGCGAGCGTCTGGATCCTTGTGCTGCTCTCTCACTCCAGGACATCTGTGAGGCAGGGACAGAGAGGATTCCTTTACGCTAGCTTTACATTGCAAACACCACAACTCAGTAGTTTTCCAGGGCTCCCAGAGCAGTTACACAAATGGCCTCTAGGTGTGGTACACATGAATGATGACTGCATCAGTGAGTCATTATACTGCTGTACAGAACAAAGCAAGTCTTATTCTATCCAGGAAAAGGTTATGCTGGTACATAAAGCTATTCTCTCTTTAAGCCAGGTTCATGAAGGTGTGTCTTTCTGAATCATCAGAAAGGCGACCTTTAACACTGCATCATTTTTAAACAACCTTTTTAGGACAGGGACAATGCATCCTTGGCCCAAAAATAGTGAAAATCAAGCACAATAACCACCAGGGGACATCTCAGAATGCCCTGGATTCTTGTCCTAGATGTAATCACATACAAGGAGAACTGTATTCAAATAAACAACCCCAGCATCTTATTTTTGTAGGCCTCTCTGCGGTGACTGGAATATCTAGAAAATTCATTGTTTTTTTACATTAAACTGGAACACATAAGTAGTTTTAACAAGCTCTCCAGTTAAACATTTGTAATTGCTTTTGAGTCTATGTGTTTACTAGTCCTGAGCCTATACAGGTCTGTAAACAAGCTGAGACGGGCTCTGACTGGTTTCGTTTTTACACATTTTCTTTATTGCATAACCTACAATTTAACTTTTATTGTGTTGCTTAAACAGTTGACCACATCTTGCCTCAGCAGGTACGAGTCAGCCTCGGGGAAGGTGAAGCACATTCTCCAGATAATACCAGTTAACAGATAAGGATACATTTCAGCATTCTGATGTTAGTGTAGTTTCAACCTTGTTCTTTCTTGGTGGAATCCTGACTGGCTTCATCTGCAGAGGAGAAATGAGAAAATGGAGAGTTACAGCAAGGGGTAATAGAGTGGGGAATTTATCATTCAGTCAGTGAGGCCATTTGACTTCTTACCCAAAATGCTCTTAGTCTCTGGCACTACCTCATGATGCTCTGTGAAGACATTAAAATGTACTTTGAGTTCAAAATATTGGGATAGTAAAAATGCTTTTTAAGATCCATTTGGCCAAACTTTCTCTTGTTGTTTTATCTCGGAAGGGGGCACATAAAAAATAGTAATCTGGCATTGTAAAACAAATTATAGGATATGACGGTGTTTTTATTCTGCTTTGGTCATGTTTTGTATTGAATGTTTAATTTAGTTTGATTGGGGTAGGTTTTGTTAACATGGGGTAGAAAGTTGGAATATTTATGTATAATGTTAGGTTGTATTAAATATAAAAGAAGGTGTGCAGGCACTTGATAAGTTTTGAGTTTGTCTTAATTCTTTTTGACATAAGATTCAATTGATTTGTTTGTATATTGTAAACAGGTGGGAAGTAACTAAGTAGATTTACTCAAGTAATGTGCTTAAGTACAATTTTGAGGTACTTGTACTTTACTTGAGTATTTAAATGTTTAGTTACTTTGTACTTCTACTGCACTACAATTCAGAGGGAAATCATGTACTTTTACTTCACTACATTAATGTTATATCTTTACTTACTAATTATAAATAGATGTAACAACTATAACATTTCAATATCTGAGTTGAATGAAACATGAGTTAGTATGAAACAACACAGTAGCTGATTACACACAGTGTGTATTGTAGTGCTTGTTTGACTGATAACTGTTGGTTGTAGTATTTTAGATTAACATTACGTACCCCTCCTCTGTCTCCCTGTCAAAAATAACAAAGACACAATCTGTCATTGACAAAAGCTAGAATTAGAGTTTGAATGTGTGACTGAAATACACTAAGGAAAAAAACCTAATGTCACAATCTCACCATCTGCTTCCTCAGAGGACTCAGACTGGGACTCTGTGTGGAGAGGAATCAGACACAAGGTTATGATATTTTACATGTAAGTTGAGCTTCTCCAAACTGTCCTTTATCACCATCTACAGGCTAAAACAAACCTCCCTCACCTTTATGAGCTGCTACGTCAGAGTTCCCACCTCCCTCTGCTGGGGGAGTATTTCACAGTTAGGTAATGTTGCATGTAAGGTACATAAAGGTCACATAATATATTTTACATATCATTAGGAGGTTGTTTTACACACCTGTTTTGGCGTCTACAGTTCCAACAGGCTCCTCCACTGTTGGAAACATTTCAAATAGTGTTAAAACAGGATCCATATGTGTTCAGATTTGATCATTCATTCAACATCCAAGTTTAACTTACCAGATTCATCTGTAACAGCCTCTGTGTAGAAAATATTGAAATTCTTCATTACACAACTCAGCTTCTGTTTTTATTTAATGAGTAGCAGTTCCTCTTACCAAGGTAGCGGGCTTCCTCATTCTGTTCCTCGGTAACTGGACAGGAAATGGTAAAGAAAATAACTGTTTTCACAAATAACAAAATGGATGAGAGGTATATTTGCTTTTGAAGTCAGCTCATTTTTGGCTCTGTTCATTGCCCTGGACTTTGGTCTAACGTACCATTCATCTGAGCAGCCTCGTCCTTTTGAGCGGCCTCAAACTCCATCTGATCTGAGGAGACAGAGTGATCAAATGATAAATAAAACAAGCGAAAAAAGCCTATGGGCAGTTTGTGTAACCAATAATTAAATGTAGTGTTATGGTTCAAACATAAATAACATTGGAAGTGTGTGTTAGGCCTCTCTTGCAATCCATTTGTGCCCAAAAACTATATTGCAAAGGTAATATTTAAAATGTGAGTTCACAAAATAAATCTAACTTTTTCAAAAGTAAGGATTTTAGAAACATTTCTAACATTCACATTGCATATAAGTATTTTTGATATTCAACTTGTAATGGGTTCATAGATTACAAATACTTGATGCACCTTGTACTTTATGTAGTACAGACATTTGATTGTCATACTTGTCCTAAATCTCAGAGGACTAATGTTTTGTTTTGTTTTAATATAAAGAAAAAAAAGTAGTCCAATTTGCCTAAACACTCTATTGTATAACAAAAATGCTCTCTCTGAGAACACCAGGGAAGGTGGGTTAATAAACATACTTGCAAATACAATACATAAAACACATTAAACATTAGTTTCCCAGTCAGCTGGTTCTCAATTGGACTACTGTACCTATTTTCTGCAGTTCAACTAGCCCATCTGGATGAAAAGACAACACATTGGGATCAGCTTTGAGTCATGTGAGTAAATATATCACTATAACCTGTTTTTTATTGACAATGATATCTTTACCGTTGGGATCAACTACTTCCTCTTTCTCTGCAGATTCCAGAGATGCTGAGAGAGCTAGGAATCATCACAAGTATTTCAGTCAGGCTTCTAATAAATACAAAACGGAACATCTTCTGGCATAAATAAGCAGACATGTGTTTTCGTATTAGTAGGAAAACATATTCTTCTTACCAGACTGAAAGGCAGACACAGCGAGGAAAACACACAGTGGCAATAGAAACCTCATCTTGGCTGTTGCTCGGGGTAGTGGAAGATGTTGGGTTGTCGTCACTTCACAGCCTCTTATATCTTCAGTCACATCACATGTTTGTTCTTCATGGACAGGCGGCTCTGGTACCATTGTCCCTCCCTACCTGAGAGCACAGCTGGGCGGCACATCAGCACACAGACACATCCTTATTCAGGCCTTCAATGCCCCCCTTTGTTGGCTCTTCTGTCACGCGGGCCTTTATTTGGGGTGTCACTGTGTCTGCAAAGGAGAAAAAAAGAGAGTCCTCGCATTTTCCATTTTCCTTTTGGGAATGAAAATGGGTGATTTCACCGCACATCCTGAGTTTATGAATGATGTCATTCAGTTAGACAATTCATCGTTTAATAGTGCAGATCAAAGAGAGGATGCAAAGAGCTGTGACATGCTTCTTACTGTCTCCTCAGTCACTAATCTGTCATTAAAAGAACTGCAGAGCATTTGATTCATTAAAAGGAATTAGAAAAATCTGGATTTTAGATCATAGGGAGAAACACATTTTTTTTAATTTAGCCTTTATTTATACAGGTGTAGATCTCATTGAGACACAAGGTCTCATTTTCAAGAGAGACCTGTTCAGTGGTAACACTACCACACAAAGTTACAGACAGACAGGACACTAAACACAGAGGCAACACTAAAATACAACGCCGTAAATGGATATAAAAAGTCAAAAGAGAGGAAAATAAATGTAAACAAGAGTATCATTTGGGTAAGATATTCTAGTAAAAGACTAAACTAAAATGTTTATCAATATAAAAACACAAAAAGTGAAAAGCATTGGTCTGATCTCTTTATTGTGATTGTAAACACTTGACAAAAAAACTGTAGTCCATAAGGTTCTACTATTGTTTAAAATGACATTAAATTAAATCTTTTATTTGTGCAGAAGAAGTTAAAATACTCAAAATGGTCAGTCGTATTGGCATTTAAAAGAGAATTAAGTGTAAACTTGATACTGCCCTTAACTGATTTTATATAATTGCTAAAGTATGTCTTGGCATTTACTCACAACAATATTATTTTCTTTCAAAAATCTAGAAAAATACACTTAAGAAACATTTAGCTAATTACAGTTGTCTTCCCAAAGTGGCTAAAGAACATTAAAGCAGTTCAGGTATGCACAGTGACATCAGATAAACCACAGGTACAGAAAACAAATGTTCTTCCATGTTACAACAAAACATAGAACGCATTGTACTCTTTCCAATTGGTCCTGGTTGTTAGACTTTGATTGCAATTTAAACTTCATTATCAAATAAGCCAATTAGTCTAATATCTTTAAGGCACATACTAGTTGAATGTATACACCCTGTTTGCATGATTAAAGTGTCCAATTATGGTCTTATACAAAATATCAGTACAATTAAATAGAAAGAAAAAAACATGGACAATGTCTCTTGCTAACAACATACACAGTGTTCTGCTAAGGAGGTAGAGGAACTCAGAAATCAGAAGAGAGACTCAAATCTATCAATACAAGGACATCTTGGTTTATGTGGCACCTACAAGCTAGTTTGCTAGAAGTTATCTGTACCGTGTTCCTAACAACAGCAGTGCATTTAAAAAAAGAATACTAATCTAAACATCGTTTTAAGACACACAGGTAGACAGAGGAACCATTAAGAGCATGTTACTACCCTGGAGTGCAGCGTGGTTCACAGTGATTCAAACATTCAGCTCAGTACAAGGTTGACCCACTTTTAGTGTGATTTGTGCTACTCAAGGGGAATGATGAACTGTGGTTACTGGTAGGGTCATAAAAAGATTATTTCCATCGTTTTTTCATCTAATGTCCACCTTCATGATGGAAGTTGAGGAAAGGCAAACAAATAAATATAATTTGTCTTCTTTCAGGCTAGTTAAAAGAAAACATTCAAAATACAAATATAGGTGTTTATTTGACTAAACTGTGTCTTTTTGCTTCTATAGATTTGTCCTGAATTTACCAAAAGTTAGCATTAGATAATGCCTCGTGGACATTATTAAACGTAAAATATAAGAAAACTTTTCATTATTTAATATTATGAAAAATGTGTATCCTAAAGTAATGGCTTCTTTTTTTTAATAGAAGTGTTTTCTGATGTATTGAGTGATACAAAGCGATGACCAACATTCCCTGAGTAAAAACTCTAAACATGTCCATCGTTTTTTCCATTATTCAGATTGACAGATTTGTAATACAGTGTAAGTCTTATTGTGATCTATTTATAAAATGGTTTTACCCTGTTCACCTGTAGTGTCTCCCTCTTAAAGGGATCCTAGCGCCCCACACCCCTGAATAGAGAGGGGGTTTTATAGTGCAGTATGTGCATCAATGAGGGTCCGTGTGGGTTTGTACTGTGCTTGAATGATGGTTTTGTATTGCTATTAGTTTAGAGTTCCCCTCTGAGTCGTGTGTGCAGGTCTTCCTGGTCGACCTTGCCCTCCTGCTGGTGCCAGCGGTGGTGGGCCAGCAGGGCCACGTTCCTGGCAGAGATTGCGCTCATCTCCATGGCGCTGGCTGCCCACTCCACAGCATTCAGGTAGTACAGCCGGTTGTGCAGGATGAAGGGAGGGGTCTTACGTTGCGGTGGGCGGTAAATAGGATAAGCCAGCCACCTGGTCTCTGACGATGAGTCCCAGGTGATGAACATGTCCTGCAGCTGCTCCTGGGTCAGCGGCTGTGGAGAGAACACCTTCCAGACTTTGGCCACGCTGGCAGGGGGCCGAATGTACCCCTCTGGGATCTGAACAGGGTCAATAGAGCTCAGGCTGTTGATGATGGAGTCCTTTGAGTCCATGGTGAGGATGTCAGACACAGTGAAGTCTGAGGCCTTCTTTGTGCTCCCGAGGAAGGACATGTTCAACCTGCCGTGGATCAGAGTGGAGACAGTCTGGTGGTAGCGTCCGGGGTAGTGAGACGGGAGAGGGGGGGAGAAGCCTGAGAAGATGATGTCCGACTTTCCCTGGTGAAGCGGTGTTGCTATAACAACGATATCATACAGAGAGTGTGCTGAGCCTGATTCTCCAACATAATTTACCTCGTAGAAAGTAGTTGTGGTGCCTAAAAATTGGAAACAAAAGTTAAAATGAAATACTTGAGATATTAAAAGTGAACAATCCCTCAGTGGGAGAAAAATGAATGATAGGATACCTGACTTGGATGGTCGAACTTTGATTGAAATGGAGGTCACTTTGGCAGTGATGAGCTCAGTTTTGCTGATGTAGAGCAGTCCGGAGCACACTCTCTTATTGCCTCCGTCCACTGCCCACAGGCCTGAATCTACGCCTGCTAATGACACTGCCCCTAGGAGACAAAACATACATACAGTACATTATATTTCTATTGAGAGTTTATCATTTACGATTACATATACATATTCCTCTGATCTTCATTCAATTAAAGCCCTAAATGAAGTCAATGTTTTTGTGTTTGCCTGAAATACAGAAACCGTTATCTCTGGAGTAGGAAGATGGCATTTTGTGAAGTGGGCAAGTATTTTGCACATTGTATGAAAATCCTCCAAACCTTGTATGTTAAGGATTAACATAAACAAACATTTTGCTACAGTAGCTAGGCTATTGTGGAATACCCAATTTAACAGCTGTTTAAACTAAATACATTGAGACATGTGAACCAAATCAAACTATTGCATTAAAAGACATACCCACAATGCCATTGAGGCGGACACTTTGGCCATAGTTGACACGAGTGATGGGTGAGACGACTTCGTTGATAAAGACCTGCGGAAATCCTTCGGCCATCATCGTTTCCTCCAGAGTTTGATTCAGCAGGGTAAGAAAACCATCTCCACCCATGGCATGAAGGAGTTTATCCACACTGGAGAATGAGTAACCATACTGCTGATACTGGTAGATCCTGTAAAAAAAAAAGCAATCACATCATCATCTGCCTTGATAATCCTGGATCTCATGCTAAAAAGGAATGAGATTTCATTATTTTTCCTCCTCACCTCATAAATTTGTCCAAAACGGTCTCCACCCACATATGCATTCGGAGAAAGTTGAACCCGTATCGCCAGAGCATGTGCAAAACATTTACTATATACCAGTCACTCTCTTCAAAAGTGAGCTCCTTTCCATCAAAGATTGCCGCCTTAGAGCGGACATCTTTCCTTGGAGGAATACCTGCAAGAAAATTAAATGAGGGTTAAATTCTGTAAACTAAAATGTACCAGAATAAATAATGGCTTCAGTCATTTGGTGGCGAGTCTTGTTATGTTACCCAATTTTTCAATGAAGTGTTTCATGTGTAGGTTGAGAGGATGGATCACTGCTCCTCCCGTCTCATAATCCTGATCTCCAAACTTCACTGTCGCAAGTCGTCCTCCAACAGTATCAGGTTCAAACACATCGATCTTTACTCCGGGTCCAAACTCCTGCCTCAGGTAAAACGCTGCAGCTGAGCCACCAATGCCCGCTCCCACCACGGCTTTAAAGGGGAAAGGACCACACTTTAATTCATTTCTCAGCTGTAATCACTTATTTAAATATACACATTTTCCTTTAATTCTTTCATTATCCTTCTTTATGGCCATTTGATTAGTAAAACTGGTCAAACTGAAGGTCCATATGCATGTTGAGTGTGTATTTTATTTGACACATGCTGCTTTTATTCTGTGAGATACTTAAAATACACACAGCTAACATACAATATTCTCTCAAGATACCATGTTTAAAATGCTGCACTACAGCAGCAAATAGTATTATAGATATATGAAAATATATATATTCAAAATAAATAAATAAGACAAATGTTTTATATAGACTAATGTATTTGACCAGGCACTGCAGGATGCCCAGGACAACTAGTCAGCAATCAAAGTGTTGATGGTATTTCTTTGCAAATCCCCATGTGAGCTCCATACAGTCTACTGTATCATTGAGTTTGAGATCAGAAAGCAACTTAATTTGCACATATCATGATCTTTATGCACATGATTATTTCTAATATTATATATTTAATTTTTTGTATTGATGTGTTTTGTTTTTACATGCACTCTGAGAAAGGCTTACCTATCTTTTGTGGTTGGATCTTCAGCTCTGGGGCTGAGGCTAGACATCTTCTCCCAGTTTGCCAGAGCCCCAGAAACAGCAGGGCTCTCAGTGACAGCGTTTGTGGATTCATTGTGGGTATCTAGTTCTATGCAGCACCTCGGAGCATCTGTACAGGAGGAATACAAGTGAGCCATGAATAGTTTATGTTGCTAATAACCTGAACGCAACACTCTCTATCAGTCTGGTCAAATTGGTTACTGTTGTTAACAGTCACGCAAAGAATAACAAAGACAGGAAATATAAACATCAATTATTATGCAGTGCAGAATAACGTTACGGTGTGTGTTTTATATTTCAAAAATATGTTTAAATAGAAAGCGTTGAAATCTGTGGACTCACTATGTCACAGGTCGATAACGTTACAGAAGAGCTTGCAGCGAATCCAGAAGTAGCGTTTCGAGAGTTGTTTCAACGTGACACTTTAAGATAAATTCAAAGCTTGTTAAAACTTGCCAACGGAAAACCGAACTATTACAAAAGCTACAATAAGACAAAAAGTGTCAAAAACTAAACTTGTTTTACGGTTGAATCATGTCGGAGCGCCCTGAACGTATCCTCCTAACGTTGAGACACACTTCCGGGTAAATTAACATTAGAGTTTCACAATAAAAGCTATAACATCGAGATATAAACGAATGTGTGTAGTTTCTATCGCAATGGTCTGCAGAGAATAGTTGATATAAGGCTTATTGTTTACACAGCATTCTATAATTCAGCTTTCAAAAAATAAAAGATTACGTACACTTTGAACGAAATGTATAAACTATAATATGCGTACTTGAATCCAGTTATAAATATTAATTATTTTATTTTCAAATAAAATACAAATTGTAAAAGCTACTGCAAAGTTAAAGAGTCACTTTTGAGGTATGACTTGACTTGACTGACCAGACTATCACACAAAACGGAAGATATGTTTTCCCAAAAACCGGTTGCGGAAGTAAAGCGGAAATGACGCAATCGTCTACCCATTTTGAACCATGCTTGAATGGAGGTGACCTTAACATCAAATTGTAGAGAAACGGAACTTGCCTTGGACACCGGGTGTACATCGACTTAGATCTGCGTGCTTTAAGTGCTTAACTGAATCTTACATTTTAGTAAATATTTAGAGTAACGAACAGAGATGGCAGAAGCACATCAGGCTCGCGTGCATGCTGTGGTGGAAGACATGGTCCAAAGCCTGGAGAGGGACCACATTCGTGTAATGCAGGTAGGCGTGTTAACTGTAACAACTTGAACTGTGCATGCAGTGCTTTGTCTGTCTACTATTAAGCACCTGTATGACGCTATAAATGTGTGTGTTCTTGCTGCAGGGTCGCATGTTCAGATGCAGTGCAGACTGCTGTGACCGCTCCACTGACTCCATGTCTGTGGTGCATAACTGCATCGAGAGGTGTCACACTCCTATGGGCAAAGCTCAGGCACAGGTCACTTCAGAGCTGGAGAAGTTTCAGGTAAGGGGACATTTAAGTGTGTGGCATTTTCAATATAAACGTTAGCTTTCCAGGTCGCATGTAAAGGCTGTTGCTGAAACTTTTCAATGACTGGTTATATTTCAGTGTGGCATTTCTATTAACCAAACCTGCTACAACAGAACATGATCAGTTAACCCACATGAGGTCTTTGGGGTAGATAACGTGACTAAGATGGAAGTATAAACCATGTAAGAACATAAAAGCAATGTTGTTTTCTTTACAAATAAAGAGAAAAAGAAAGAAACTGTACTATTCCAAACAAAAGCATAACTCACCCCACATTTTGTCTTATGCACCCAATTTATGAAAGAAAATCCCCACCTGGAGAAATACGTCACCTGTCTTTTATATGTAGCTAAACTTCTTTCAACATTTGTTAGAACCATCAAGCATAACTAAAATGTTCCAGCACAGTTTGAGCCAAAATGCTTCATTGCATTTTCAATTCCAAATCTCTAAACATGCCTACTACTGTTTCAAGACTAAACCATTCCTTTTCCCCCTTAGGACCGTCTGTCCCGATGCACGATGCACTGCAACGATAAGGCGAAGGATCTTTTCGACTCTGGCGCTAAGGAGCCAGCTGTTCGAGCCCTGATGGACAGATGTGTGGGCAGCTGTGTTGACGACCACGTGAACCTGATCCCCAGTATGACCCGGAGAATCAAAGATAATTTGGACTCTATAGAGTAGTGAGGAACAAGATGGGTGGCTATAGTCCATCCTGAAGTCTCAGCCTGAACGCATTACACACAAACACAGGAGCCCAGGGTCAGTTGACCCAGCAAGTTTGACCAGTTACAACCGAAGGATAAATGGCTGGAACACCATAAAGGGTGGAAAGAGTGACTTAAAATGGAGCAAAGACACAAAGACAGGTGTAAGAGGCTGCGACTTTACATGTTGGTGAAGTTTTAAAACGGCTCACTCTGAGATTTGTTTTTGTACTGTGTAATTAACAAACGGTAACCTATTAGAAGCTGACAGAAAATAAAGAATGATGCATGTAGTGTGTAAACAAAATAATATATCAAACAAGTTAAGCATGACAGTTTAAGATATGGAGTATACTCAACAATTAAAATGATCTACATCAGTTTTGAATGTCCTTTACATTCAACTTTTAAGCCCCATTTAATTCCTAAAATATCTCTAGTGTGAGCCCTTTCATCCTTCACTCTTGCTTTTGTCATTTTATTGTGAAGTTGTTCTGTAATTGTCTGACCTCATGGTGAAATATGTTTATGAATTAAAAGTACCGTAGCTGTTTTGGACCCGCATTACTTCCATAATAACATGAGCTGAGATTGAACTATTGAATCGAGGCAATAATAAAAGCCAGTAATGCTTTTTATATATTTTAATGATCCATTTACTGTCTCATATATACAAATGGTACAAGAAAGGCAACACTGTAGGTAACTGCAATATAACTTTGTACATGAACAATGCAATAAACACGCTGTAAATATAATGCAAACCCCACAACCCATTTAGTTAGTTAGGGAAAGAATCATGGGATAGCACCACAGCCGGGGGGGCAGTTTTCATTGGTTGTCAAGAACTGTATACATATTTTCTTTTGAAAAAATAAATCATACAAATGAAGTAAAAAATAAATAAAACACCTTTAACTTTGAACTCAATGACAGTTACAGTGGCGACTATACACGCAGGTCAAAATGACCACAATGAGTTATCAGTACAAGTCAGTTCTACAGGTTTTCAAAAACAGCATGAGGTAAAAGATATCAAACATTTCCCAACCAATCAAACCTAATCAAAATTATACAGTAACATATCTTCAAAGTTTTTTGTCATTGATCGGTCATCCAAGTAAAAACTGTTGATAAGGCCAACACACACAAACACATTAAAAAGAATAAAGGATTAAGTCTGAATTTGTATCAATGCAGGTTTACATTTGGTATGTATGTAATATCAGTGGGCTTTGCAACTCTACGTTTATAACTTTAATTCAATGTTTTATAATTGGAATATGGCAGTCAATGTTATTTACAAGGATACTTTTTACTGTGTATAATCTGGGAGTGATGAGGATGTTTTCTCCAGTTTACAGAAGAGGTGGTGGACATTCTTATCTGAAAGCCTTAACAGAAGTGGCTCGGGTTTTGAAATGTATGATGTATTTTTTAAACTTACGCCCATAAAGCATTTTGTTTTGATTTAGAAATGCAGAGACATGTCAAACTTAAGACTGAGGGAGATGGACCCCCAGCTGTCAGAAAGAGACAAAACAAAGGCTTAAATTCCTGCTTTTACTGCATCGATCAGTTACTTTGGAAACAAATGTGTAGTCATCACATGCCCTTAATTTGACTGTTCATCTTGTAGTGCATGTACCAGCAGGTATGAGTTAAATCTCTAGCAGCTGATAATCAACAGCAGCCTTGCAGAGAGGCTGTCAGACTTTAATTAACTTTTTTGTTTACAGGCTTTAAGTGTTGGATAATATATTGTACAGTATATTTTCCTAAAATGTGGAAACATTCACAAGTCAAATGAAATAAGTTGTTTACAACACTGTTGGCATACATGGTCTGTTCTTGATTCAAATCAGTACAAATGACAGGTGAGTTTTTGAGTGCAGTGCCACACTTATGACCACAATTTACATATTGGTCCATACGAGCAACACGTGAAACATCCCGCACACGTCAGTAAAGGTCCAGTTTCACCCTCTGGAGATTTCCCCTCATGATGTTCCCAAATTGTAGGATGATAATGCCCCTACATGGATAAATTAAGGGGGTTCCATTAAGATGAGTGATTTGGGGCTAGTCTGTCATCCCAGTGCACTCAGTTCATGGCAGAGGTCCAAAGTTTGAAGCTGCTCTGAATACAAAGATGGCCTGACACCTCCTGGCCACTATCTCCATAACCCTGGAAACCCCATGTATGTGAAGCAAACTCTCAATGTGCCAAAACACTGACAACACGGATGGGACAAATGTACCCCATACATCTCACTGTGTAACACAAGCATGCAGATGGTAGGTATGTCCAATGACAGCTGATGGAAAATGTGGCGGTGGATTGTACGTACAAGCATGTGTCAGTGACTCAGCGTTCCCAGAGGGATAGTTGCAAATTAATGGCGGCTGAACGTGCATCAGGACACGATGCGGGTAGAGCTTTCCTGTTCTGAGGAGTCTGGACGTGGGTCAGAATGAGGCGATGTATACAGGAAGTTACAGCACACGTAGAGGGGGAATGTCAACAACCGGCTGTCCAGGTTCATCACCACATACTCCTGAGATATTAAAGGGAAAGGAAGATTATTTAGCACTGAGCATGTAATACAAGCTAATGAATGACACAACGGAGCCATCTACATCTGCAGGTGAATAGTCCTCACTGACCTGGTCTTTCTCAAGGGTGAGGAGCTGGTATCCTGTTGAGCGACTGCACACCAACTTTCCCCGGCTATCGAAGGAGGCAAGACGCAACCTAAACAAATGAAGATTGTGGTATTTTAAATTTGTGGACTTGACATTTTGGACAACACACTTATAGCCTCTCATGCTGTGAGTAAGATAAGAAGATTGATACCAATGTCTGTAAGCCTTAAAGAATGGTCACCATTAGATGGCTAATGTAGCTTAGCATAAAGCTGCAAACATTAGGGGAGTCTGTTGAGGTCTAAGGATAACTCATTTTACAAAACGTCAAACTATAGGTTACTTACGTAACCCCAGTTCTCAGAGTAACATGAAGTGAGATGTCCCACTATGGGATGCGCCTCATCGCGGAGCAAACAGAAGCATCAATCTCATTACGCCAATCCTGATTGGCTGGAGATCTTGACGTCAGCGTCAGGGCAATCACCCCCTATAAGTAGCTTGCGCCACAACGCATGCGCCATTCAAAATAAGCACCTCTTCTCGCTTCACCATAGCAAGGAGGGCCGTCTGGTGAGACATCTCACTTCATGTTACTCTGAGAACTGGGGTTACGTAAGTAACCTATAGTTCTCATTCATAACACTCCGTTCGATGTCTCACTATGGGAAATTGTAGCTCCCGTATTGCCAGACGAGCTTATCTCGAAAATCACCAAACCAACCAGAACTTAACA